ACCGTTTTTGTGTGCTTTTCTCTTTCTAGGTGGCTGTTAATAAGTAGTTTTGCATTAAGAAAAAGCCTCTTTTGCCCGGGACCGTGGTTGGTGGGTGCTCCTCTGTTCCTGTCTTGATCCTCAGCTCTTTTATTACATTTTTCTCTCCTCTCCATTTTACTGGACTGGGAGAGCTGCATGGGTTTGGTTGCCGAACTCAGCCTAACCCACGACAGAACTAAAGGTATTTTATTCATCAGAATGACCTATTTAGATGATTAATACAATATTTCTCCATTACTTTCATCTGAGTGGCTGCAAAAAGCAGTATTGAGGAATACAGAGTACTTCTGTAGATTCACACACTAACTACATAACAGAAACTTACTGCTGTACCCAAAACAGCTCAACTGTACTTAAGAGAACCTTGACTTGAAAGAGCGTGAACAAGAGCGATCAGGAATCCTATCTGAGGACCACATAATCGGGACCATCATCCCATCTCCCACATGATCAAAGACACTGCTGCAAGCATGATAAATTTTTGGTTAAAAAAATAGCATTGCTTAAAGAATCATTTTTCAAATGAAATGAAATGACACATTTTTTCCTGTTAATAACTGTCTTGAAAAGGATATTCATGCCCCTTACCATCCATTCAGATATAATGACATCCACTTTTTCCGAAGGCAGATCCACTTCTTCGATTCTTCCTTTGACTAATGTAATGATATTTTCAAGTTTATTTAATCTGCAAGTCACAACATAAACAAATTACTTGATATTTCCAATTTATGCTGTCAAGAAAGAGATATTGTTTGTATTTTGCATTTTTCCACCCAATAATTTTTTAACTGATCAAGAGAGCACTAAAACGTAATATTCCTCTTCTCAGTTATACTGGTTCAGAGAGAACATTTCCGAGTAGCCAAAAATTGCAGCAGAATAAGTGCCAGGCAAAGATGGCAGACAGTACATCTGTATACCTCCAACGTGCTGTGCACACAAATGTGTAAGCTTCAGAAACCAGGAAAATAGAGAAGACTACAATTTAAAATGACGCTCCTCTTTACGCAGAGTTGCTTCTCCCCAATTCTCCTTCTTTGACCCATGTAGCTTAAGTCTATAGTGATTAGAGCCTACTCATCACACTAGGATAGCAATGGAAATTACAGAGCTGTTTTGCACGACTTGTTTTTTTATTTAACAAAACTAGCTGCAAAGTCACTGAGAACAAATATTCCCTCTACATCAGTTATTCCACAATAAAGGCATCCTACCCACTGTGATTCCAGCCAAAATCATCTGCAACGTTTAGTAAGTGCAGCAGTCAGGTAATACCCCATACGCAAGTAACGGTACAACCATTCTGTACAAGGAGGAAGGTAGTCACTGTGACGTGTCTACAGTTTTTGAAACAAAAACTGCATGATAGTGAAATTACTAAATACATTAATACTTGAAATTTAGTATTTTTTCTTCTTGGCAAACCATATTAGTCTTTCTTGCACATACCATTATTACCATAGATACTCCTATGGAGGGCAGAAAAGTATTTCCACCAAGGAAATTTATCTTCCTACTGCAGTTCTTCTCTCTGTCCCTTCCCTCCCTATCCTGATACCTTACTCTTGCATTCTGTCTGGCTTTCAATGGAGACTAGTAATCACATTAAAAATTCAATCTAAAAGACAATGGGAGAATGATCAGAATGAAGGGAGGGAAAGGAAAGGTTCAAAGGGTTACTTGAACATGTGGGCTGTTGGAAAGATCAATTAAATACTCTATACACGGCAGTCTTCTGTTACAAGAGTAGCAGTTCATCATTAATATCACATTTAATGCTCTAGACAGAAGTAAAATCAGAAGCTTAAAGTGAGAAATAAAACGCTGAAGAGCTATCACCCACAACAATATTTCACGAAGGACAAAAAGAGATCTAAGGATAACTTCCTAAATAACCACATATAAGGACATGAATTAAAACAGAAGAGAGGCAAAAGACTAATTCATTACCTACTTGTTTTCGATTGTAAGGTACAAAAAAAAAGTCATTTACACATTGTAGAAAAAAACGCTGAGATGCTATTTAGGTAGTATACTTCAACTCTGTTCTAGTGTAACAGTGATGAACGACAAAAATCAAGTCATTCACTGCAGTAGAAATTTTACGGGCAGCTATTCACATTAAGAAAGAGAGAAGGGAAGCATTTAGTTAAAAATAAATGTACTATGCAACCTTGGGAAGGAATCACGCCACTCAAGCCACTTATTCCAGTTTACTTACACACAAGGCTTGCACTGGTTCTAGTAATTAGCATGCTAGAAACGAACGCCAATTCTGGGAGGGACAAAAGTTCTTGAATATGTACTTTAATCACAGGTGGAATTACACTGTGGTGGTTATTTTTAAGCAACACAGAGTTGTTTAGTATTCCAACAAATATTTGTTACTCCATTACAAGTTTGTCAGCTTTATTCCTTTAGGAAAAGTAGGTTTAAACAAGACAAATATAAATCGTTGCGAATTAAAAACTTTAATGTGAATTGAACCTTTTATAGCAGAAGGTATCTATAAATGTAGCCTCAGTGATGGTTTGCTGTGTATTTCAAGTGGCAATTCATCATTCTCAAGAGAGTTTAAGAGTTTTGATTTGTAGTTTTTCTTAAAGGCTTGCCCTTCTTCTCACCAAAGGTAGTATGTATCGGCTGATACTTCTATCCTCTTCTGAGTATAAATAACACATAAAGGACTTTTTGAGCGCTTGTTGAAAGATATGAACAATCCTAAGTTTGTCATCTAGTAAATTAGAAATAAAATAGCATTTCACACTTGTAACCACTCTGAAGATGTTAAGGGCTCCTGTCAAAAGTTCTCTTTAGAGAATGAGCTCTTGTGCCATAAAAGCATTTTGGTCAAGTTGCACCTATGGTGCTTTTCTTGGTATTTTTCTTAAACAGGCATTTATTTAATAGAATAATTCCACAGCATCCTAGTGTGCAGTGCTGAATCTCTAATGTGTGAAGTGGTATCTAACCTAAAACTTCCGCCTAGACAACCTTATTTCTCTACGATTTAAACTTGCATAAAAACTGTCAATCCCAAATTCCTCAGTATCTACCTTGACTTTCTTTCATAGCCGCTCTTATAAAAAAACAACAAACCAAAGAAACCTACACACCTCAGGTATCAACAGTACACATTTTCACCAACATTTCTCCTATCTCATGCTAGGAAATACTTTTTAAGTCTTCAGATGCCATTGCTTCATTTTTACATATACTCGTAGTCTCCCACAATATCCTCTATAGGTAAATTGGTGAAATGCGGAATGGACAAATTAATATATGATAAATAATAAATGCATTAATAATAGATGAATCATTAGATGGGCAGAAAACTGAGGTTCAAGAGCTGAGAGGAGTACAAAGTTTGGCAGACAGGTACCAGAGGTGTCCCTCGGGATTCAATCCTTGTTCTGATACTAACACACACCTTTATTAGTGACCTAATGGGACAGAACACACCCTCAGCAAGTCCGTGGATAACACTGAACTAGCAGGGAGCAGTCGATATGCCAGAGGGTAGGGCTGCTATTTAGAGGGACCTCAAACTGTAAGTTTGCAGTGTGTCTGTGTAGTCATTGGTCAAGGAAAGTGATCTTTCCCCTCAATTTGACACTTGTAAAACTGCATCTGGAGTACAGCGTCCAGTTGTGGGCTCACCAGTGCAAGACACTGACATATCAGAGCAAGTGCAGCGAAAGGGCCACCAAGATGACAGGGGGCTGAAGCACATGACATACAGGGAGAAGCTGAGAACTGGGCTTGTTCAGCCATAAGAAGGGATGGTTAAGGGATGGGTTTCTGATGTCTACCTCTGCCTATTAGAGGGTGAAGAGAGGACTGAGCCACATTGGTATCACAAGGATGGGATGAGAGGCAAAAGATACAAGCTGTAACAATGGGAGTTACCATTTGATACTTCAAAAGTAAGAGTGAGAAAGAAGAGTCAGAAGACACACATTTTCCAAAGAAGTTCAGACAGAAGCAGCAATGTTCAAAATTTGACCAGCTGAGGTTTTAGCCACCTATTGGGTCTGAGCCTGTTTTGACAGGAGACTGGACCAGATGCTCCCCAACAAAAGGGGTCCTTTCCACCCTGTATTTTTCCATCACAGTTTATGTGGCATGAAACATCTTCGTAGTTCTCCTGGAAACAACTTCTCTCAGGGACTCCGCAGACTGTGTGTATGTCTATCTGCACGCTCTACAAATAGGATTTTTTGGTCAAACTATAGAAATTATTACAGAGAAACCAACCACTTTCCAATTAGCACGAAAGCCAGAAGACAGAAGGTTTCTCAAGAAACGAAGTAAGGGGTAATAGACACTTAACCGTTCTCACAAAGAGAGTCTCCCTTAAATATAGCAACATACAGAAGACCTTACTAGAGACAGGTTTTCCACAAGTTAAAACTAAAGTAACATATACTTCTAAAACCTATTTGCCAAAGGAAGCTATATGACATGTTTCTTTCGTATATGCTAAAATTGGTAAAAGTTAACTGATGCATGACAAGCTTTTGCTTAAAAACAGCTACAACATGAAGACATAAATACATAGAGATGAACCAAGTAAATGTTGTTTAATTTGCTGTAAGATAGAGAATTAAATCATAGAAATTACATAATTACAGAAAATTTCTATATACAAACATATATATTGTTGTTTAATTTTCATACAATTTTACTGAGTTTATCTGCATCAGAATTGTTTCTTTAACTCAAAGTAGCTCAGCCAGAAAAAGCATCTCACATCCTCTTGGAACAGTGTCTCAACTCTGTTATCTAAAAATTTACAATTTTATCAGTAGCAACATTTAAAGCATAGCAATAGAAAATGGACAGGCAGCAGACAGATGGAGCCTCTGCAGCAACGCAGCAGAGGTTTTAATTACCTCTATCAAAGTAGCAAACAACTTGACCCCACATCAAAACCTGTACTAATTCCTGGGACAAAGAAGGACTTCAGTAAAAGACACACCGAGTGATAAGTGATCACAAACTAGAAACAGCATTTTAATAACTTTTTACAGCAACATTTACCATACTTTTCTCAGAACTCTTCCTACCTAATGATGTCCATAGCCTGATAGATGATTTCAGACTGGTCGACTCCAATCACTTTCTTCGCACCTGCTTTGGCAGCAAACATGGAGAGTATTCCAGTTCCACAGCCAACATCCAAAACCACCTGAAATGAATATGATGTTTATTTTCACCTCCATTTATTTCCCTTGCTACGACTTTTCTACATGTCTTCCTAAACCAGCAACATCCACATTCTAACAGCAGGAACAAATTGTAGCATCATAGAATGACAGAGTGGTTTGGGTTGGAAGGGAGCTTAAAGGTCACCCAGTTCCAACCCCCCTGCCATGGACGGGGACAACCTCCCCTTAGATCAGGTTGCTCAAAGCCTCATCCAACCTGTTCTTGAACACTTCCAGGGATGGGGCATCCACTTCTCCAGGCAACCTTTTCCAGTGCCTCACCACCCTCAGAGGGAAGAATTTCTTCCCTATATCTAACCTGAACCTACCCTCTTTCAGTTTAAAGCCATTACCCCTTGTCCTGTTGCTACACACCCTTGTAAAAAGTCTCTCTCCAGCTTTCTTGTAGGCCCCCTTTAGGTACTGGAAGGCTGCTAGAAGGTCTCCCTGGAGCCTCCCCTACTCCAGTGTCCTGGTTTTAGCTGGGACAGAGTTAGCTCTTCTTTTTAACAGCTAGAAGAGCTCTGTGTTTTGGTTTTACTCAGAGGCTTGCTCTGAGAAGAATGTTGATAGCAAGCTGATGTTTGTAGTTGGAAGTGAAACTCCAAGGACTTTTTCTGTCCTGGCCAGAGTGCAGAAGCACGGCGGGATAAAGGGGGAACATAGCGGGGACAGGGGAGCCACGATTCCCCTTGTGATTTGTGGTGGAATTTAAGATTGAGGGCCAAACTGGCCAATTAGTATTCCATATCACGCAGAGTCATGCCCAGCATGCCCAGTATAAAAGTGAGGGTCAGCCGGAAAGAAGGGCGTTTTGCGCTTTGGGTCTTTCGCCGCTTCTGCTTGTTTGTGCTTCTGTGCTTTTGCTCTATTGCCTTTTTTTTTTCCACTCTCTCCCAGTACTCCCACTCTCGGAGTACTATCTCTCTCTGCCCCTCCCTGTTTCGGGGCCTCGTGTTCGTCCAGGATTTGCAGCTTCGGGACGAGACGGGCTTCGCATACGAGGGGATGGTGAGCATCTACGCTGTGTATTAAATCATCTGTATTAAATTGTTCTTATCTCAACCCACGGGTTTCCCGTTTCTCCTTTAATTCTCTCCCTCATTCCTGGGGGTGGGGGAGGGTGAGTGAACGACTGTGTGGGGTTTTGTTGCCGGAGTGGCCTAACCCACGACATCCAGGTTGAACAACTTTTTTCCAAAGAAGGCATGAAATCACTCAGTAATCAATCCCACACTTGAGAACTATAACCCTGCTTTACAAAATATTTCAAGGCAATAACACACCCTACTGCCAAACCTTCTAGTTTATGAGCTATGGAGCGTTCTTGCTTTGGCAAAACCAAGACTTGCGTGTGCGCTTTTAGATTTCACCTGACAAATAGTATCAAAGTAAGCACTTGAATGCTCTGCACAGTAGGCCTGCTTGCCTTGCATACAACTCTATACATTTCGATGATAGATACAGAGCAGCAATTCTGAAGCCAGCATGAATAAAACCAGCTGTTTATCCTTAGCAGCACAGTAAGTGAGCTTCTGCTGTGGTGTACTGGGAAGCAACGACTGCAGAGTTGACCGCCACTTGTCTTCATAGAGCAACTTACAATCTGGAATCAGACTAGAAAACATTAGGGTGATGAATTTTTTTTACAGCATCTTGTGTAGAGGCTGGTCATGCAAGTTGTGGAGAGAGTTACTTGTTCCACTTGCAATTCTTTGCATCTATGTTCCAATAGGAGTCAATTCTACAACTCATTCAGAAGTTACATGTGAGTATGCACTGGCTACAGAAATCCCTAGGCTAAAGTCTTCTAGAGACAGGAATAGAAAGTAAAAATCAACGTCCTTGCAGCTGCTAAAGTCTCCCACCCCCTAACTTCATCTATTCTAACACTTTACCCATGGTAGTTAACAAAATTGCTGAGCCACGAAAGCTGGAAGTCAGAGCCAAAAACAAACCTCTGTGAAAGAATGATCTTGATGTACAGTTGCATGAAAGAGAGCAATCACCACAAATTGGAAAAAAATCAGAACAGACACCACTTTGGACAGCTGCCCTGGTCACTTAAAAATCCAGATGGAGCTCATCTAGCCTTAGGCAGGGGATGGGGGTGGAGAAAAAGGCACAAGAGAGAAAATATACAAGCAGGAACACATCTGAGGAACAGAAAGACAAGCAGAATGATCACCAATTAGTCTAAGGACAAGGGTCTACAGCTAACGCGTTCTTGCAGTGATCACATATGGCCTCTCACCAGAGATCTGGAGCAGCTAGACTGGTGATTTGACTACACTACAGTGTGCTGCAGCATCACATCCTTCTCCACAGCCTAATCAAAAACAAAGTCTATTTCTAGTAACAGAAGAGCAAATTACTTGAAATTCAGAAAAAAGGAGGTCAGGTAATTTGGTCAATTAAATTAATTCCATCAATGAACTTTTAGCAAGAGCAATGTTTAAAACCTTATTTTTCCCCCTCAATATGGCATTGATGCCTGCCTCAAACTTGTATCCTACAAAACTAAGTATGGCAATAGGGCTTGTCTAACCAACTACTTTTCCACCAAAAAATGCTCTCGCTGTATAATAAATCACATTTCCTTTTACTGAATAAGGCCACCTTCACTACTCCTGCTAGGTAATCTAAATTATCCTTTTTTCATCTGAAGTGCATCTGGCAGGTTGAAAATAAAGGCAGAAAGCAGGATTCATTCCAGTTTTAATAACTTCTTTTGAAAACCAAGAGAGGAAAAAACACATTGGCTGGTTCTGAATAAAGTATGCCTAATAAACAAACCTAGGTATTCTGTTATCATCTGTTACCATGCAATCACACCTCTTTGGGATACTACAGATTTGCATCAAAAGCTAGTACGATCAACTAAGCTCTTTGAACATGGTCCTCCCAACCCACCTCAAATCCATCATCTAAATGCATAGAGGTGTCCTTTCAGAAACAGCAAAAAGCATCACTACGTATTTTCTAGTGAGGAATACCATATGAGAGTCCTAGGAAATATGGTATCAGACTTTTACTCACTTTTTTTTATACTGTAATGAAACTTTAAGGGAAAACAGCATACTTCCAGCATATTTCCTCAAGTTGGAAGTTTCACTCATTAATATGGTTCTGAGAGTATCATATGACACAGAAATTAAGCAAAACATCTTAACAGTTCCTTCAGCATAAGTCTGTAACAGATACCACTTCAAAGCTAGATCTCTGAAAAAAAAAAAATTCCCACATATTCTCCATAACAGCACACCAAGTGAAAGCTACATCAACATTTAGTCAGATACAGAAGTTTAGTGGGGCACTGGTCACTTGGATAGAAGCTGTTGGGAACTCGAAGCACTTGAGAGTCTTTCTTTCTCAACTTCAACACACTATGATGAGTTTGGATACACTATGAATTTGAGGTCAGAAGTTACCAGTATGTCCCTATAGTGGAGGAAAAATACAGTCAATCCTGAAAAATTACTGTTCTACTGGGACATACATTCAGTATAACTTAAGATCAGTTTTACTCTGTGAAAACCTGCAGTTATCAATTTTAGGGGCATCCATGAAACTAAATTCTTTCCTTTACTGATTCTTCTGCTTTGTTGGATGAGCCACCCAGCTACACAGTCGCCTGCATCTTTTATGTAGCTGGCAGTATAATGTTTCTACGACTTTTGCTTGTTCTCTCAATATAGCTAAAGAGCTTCGAAATGCTTCATAGAAACAAACTTGTGACATGGATTGAAGCAAAAAGGAAGGAAAATCTTTTCCTCCTATTTTTCTGCTGTAGTTGCCAAAAGAAAATGGAGCTAAGACATACAAAGAGTATGCCCTATCTACCTTGAAATACCTCCTGCCTAGGACGAAAACCTTATCTAGCACAATTTCCAACTGAGGAACTATCAGATGGGTGCATTTTTATTACTTACACAACTATTCTGAAGCCTTGTATTATCTCTTATTAACAAAGTCTCAATTAAAACCAAAATCAACAGTGATTGCCTTCCATGAACCTAGACGTGCTGGTTTCACATCGAGAAATATCCATAAGCACTAAGTGGAGGAAAGCTAATCCAGAACAGAAGGCTGCACAATGTAACTCAGAACACAACATTAGAAATAGCCAGCAGAAACAGAAGTCATGAGGAGGATCGTAACTGTGCAAGGGTCATAACCACAGAAGATCATAAAAAACTAATTCAATAAATCAGGTGCGTATGAATTCTTCCCAGTTCTAATTACACAGTGCTTCTAGGATGTTTTTACTTTATCAGGTACAAATTGAAATTCACTTGAATTCTGGTAAAGAGGCCCTCTAAGATAGAGTCCACTTAACATACTGGACAAGAAAGGCTCTACTTAACCTGGCCAACATAATTAATCAACATCCCGACATGGCGCACAGAACAATGACAATAGCGATCAGCACTTCTGTTATCAGCACTGTGCACCCTCCAGCAGTCGAATAGCACTCTACCACCTAATAAAGCCAGAGGACATTAAATCAAATCTTGTCTGTGCATTACTGCATTCCCAAAGCCACGCAGTAGCCATCCTGAAAGATTTCTACCACTCGAGAAAAAATAAAGCGCAGAAATTACTGTATCTTCTGCGTTGCTTTACCTACCTTGTCCTTGAAGATATGTGGGTTTTGATAGATGAAGTCACGATAGCTTTCCGTACGCACTTTATCCTATGATTTAAAGAATAAAAAACAACGTTACTTTTTCTACTTATGTACAGCATGCCATTCAAAAATGCTGAGAAACTTGCTTTTTAACTTGGCCTAAAGGTGTTTTGTGGCTACTGTATTTATAAAGGCTCTGCAATCATGACACTTCCCATATGATATTCTTTCAGAATTTAATGTCTTTGCAAATGAAGCCAGTTGAGCCTCTGGAGGAAAAATAAGGAATTAGCTTACACTTTTCTGACCTGACACATTTGATTTTTGATGTTTCAAAGTTCTTAATACCCCTTCACCAATTTCCAGGAACAGCAGTAATGGAGTGGCAATACTGCATCAACTTTGCATAACAACCTTCTATACAATGGTAAAAATTTGAGTCACAAGCTCATAAAACATTTTGTATAATTTTATTCTGACACTCCTGTGACACAGATGCCTTCAAAAACACTTATGGATCAGATTAACCTTTTCTATCTCTGAAGAAACTGCAAATTTGCAAACCAGAAGACAAGCTAGTAATCGAAAGTGTATAGTCCATTGTATGAAAGCCCAATACAATAAACTTGTAATACAATGCGACCTGAGAAGCTGTAATTTTTCAAGCATATAACTACACTTTTATAGTATCTTACTATATGAAAGCTAACAGCATAGCACAACCTACCAGCAAGGTAATACATTAAAACATTGATTATCTTAATATGCATCAGCAGATACACAAATTGATAGCCACGGATAGATTTTTGAATTGCTGTTACAGTTCAAGTGTTAGAGTAAAGCAAAAGAAAATTTTTAAGCAATTTTTTTCTAGTAAAGAAACGCCTATAAACAACAGTAAAATACAAAATCCAACCGCTTATATTTAAGTTAACATTCTTCTACTATGGCAGGTAAGAATTTTAGAAACAATAAGGAAACTAAGTAAATTTTCTCCAGTGAGAAAGAGCAAAGTTCATTTTATTTAAAAAAAACGATCAAAATCAGAGACTGAGAACAAAAGATATATTCATAAAAATACTGGAAACAAAACTTTTGAGGCTTAAAAATCCTAAAATTCAGTTTTAAGTTTAAGAGGATATATCACAGACACACAGAGACCAAAGAAACAGCTAGGGATGATGTTAGATAATTGTACTTCAAAATTATACATAATTAACATGAATTCAGAAAAAAACCCCACAAGATCCTTTAAAATCATACTGGCTTACTATGGTGTTATCTTTAGAGCAACTATTTTTAGTACTTCACCTCTACTGCAGTATATAATAGGATTTGCTGAAACAACCAAAAAAGTTAAAAAAAAAAAAAAAGGGAAGGTTCAGCATCAATCGAGAAAGCAGTCAGCTGGAAAGCTTTCAGCCTTATACCCTGCCCACTCACATTGCCTCAGCACTGCCCCAACTTAATCAATACAATTCTAGCTGCTGTCTCTACTATATGCACTGCTGCTCGAGTACGACACAGTCATTCACTTTGGGTCTCTCTATTCATCAATTCCATTCTCTCAGTCACCATTTCAATGTAAAGCTTTTTTTTTGTTTTTAAATAAAATGGTTTACTAAGGTGATAGTCAAGAAATTATCGAGTAAACAAACAGAACAAGCAGAATACTAACCATTTGGCCAGTGTAAAGTAACAATAGTCTTCCCCCTTCTCTGAAGAATTTGCAAAAAAAAAAATAAACCTGAAACTCTGTCTTACCACTACGAGGCATAAGGGAAAAAAAAGGTTTCAAAACCCTGTGTCAGAAACAGACTTAAAATTCAGACAGCAAGTCTCCTTTCTTAAAAATTTCAGTGTAGCATACCACTATATTTATACAAATGAGGTAGACAAAAAAAAATAAAGTTACTGCTTAGCATATAGGAAAAAATTTAATGTACACGTGATAAAAATTCCTACATTTTGTAAAGTCAAAAGTCTTCTTAAAAGCATTCTGACAAACACTGCCTGAAACCAATAAAACACGATTTTGTACCTATCTCCTTGTGCAGAGATGGAGAATTAATATAAGCTTTATTAGCAAACAGAAAGGCTTCCCCATTCTACAGCCTGTAACAGCTCAAACATCACCTTTAAACAATTGCAAATACAAGCTTCTAACATTTTTTTTTATCTTCAAGACTTTAAATATATTTCTCTAGACTATACATTTTAGAAAACATTATTCTACGTCTGCAGACATCGCTGTGCTCCTGTAAAATCCATCCCCCCCACCCCTACTTTAAAATTAACCACATACTATTTTTAACACATATTCATGTGTATTTCTCTATTTAGTTGGGGCCACTAAATGATTTACAAAGGAGAAAACTTCATACGCTACCTGTACGGACAAAGTCACTTCGCAACTTAATGTTCTATCTCTACGTTAGGCAGGAATTTTATTTATTCATGCCTTAAAATGATAAAACTGTTTATGACTTTCACAACTATGATATTTTCTCTGAAAGGAAACATTAAGAGATTCTGATTTACTTGCCAATTATAAAGTTGGGGTTTGTGTGTGTTTGGTCGTGGGTTTTTTTTTTAAGGTAAAAAAGCATATACAGGTTTGCCTTTGAAGAGTTTTAAGCAGTTTTTCAATCTTTATCACATAAAAGGATCATATAGTTTTTCCAGCTGTTCAATGTTACATTATCAATACACTGAACTGTGCGCAAATATCAACAATTTCTGTTTACCTAATACAACAGAAAACCACAATATTTGAGAAATAGTTTTGCCTGACAAATTTCAATTGTTAGGAAGATATAAACTAAAGAAAAACATTCACTGTCTGTACCATGTTTTATCCTCTATCTTTTAAGCAACCAGAAAAAAGCTGCTTTTGACAAGGTAAAGTTGTGGCACAGATATCGTAAAACATATCTGTAGAGGAAATCATTTTATGTTCTTAATGCTTCACCTACAGTAAACAGAATTTATACAAAGGAAATAAAACTGGAAAAAGATCTCTCAACTCAATTCCAAGGAAAAAAATCATGTATAGAAAGGGTTAAAAATGCAGCTGCTCTGCAGTATATTTATGGGCACACAGCCCACTTCATTCCATCCTTTCTCTTTGGTCCTACTAAGATGCAGTTGAGACGATTTTCTAACCTTTAGCATCTCTTCGTGTATCCCATAATGCCCATAGGAGCTGAAGTAAACACCATCCTCATCCTCGTGAAGGTCTGCAATGGCGCTGGATGATGAGCTGCTCCTGACATCAGCGTTCATCACGAAATCCTGTGCAAATTGTCTGTAATCAATTTGAAATGTACCCTTGAGACATGTTTATGGCATCATGAAAAGGAGGTGGGAGTAGTGGGGGGAGAAGGGGATTGAAAGAGATAAGGAACCCAGCCTGTACAGGGGCTTTGACAACAATAGAACCGGTTTTAAGTGTGCACAACCTCCCTCTGCAGGCTCCTCTAAGCTGCTGCACCATCATTCTCCATCCATCACCCTCCTGCAGTGACTACTGTCTGCTTTCAACCAGCAAATATCAGCAGTGAAACATTCGGACCTCGTTTCTATTTTTAAGGAGGAATTCTTTAATTTGCATTCGCTAGTACCACAGCTAGTAGCGCAGTGGTCACAACAAACGTGTTTTAGGGTGTGCACTGAAAATATGGACTCGATACCACAAACAGCACAAGAACTACAAAGCATACAAGGCTGCACGGTGAGTGGAAGGTTGGATAAAGTACTTGAAAACTGAAGCATTCAGGTGGAAACAAACCAGAGCTTAAAATTCAATTTACTACTTTAATTTCATGCTGCTTATTTTTCCTCCTCTGCGGCCCTGCAATCCTAATACGCACATTCTCATTCCTCACAGCAGTTTTGATGACAAAATACACAAATCAAGGGGTTTATCCTGAAAACATAATTAAAAGTTGACAGGCAAGCAGCTCATACTATACCCACAATGAAGTGAAAAAGCAAACATGCTTCAGCCAGACAATATTCCTCCAAAGTCTACAGTCCAACATCAGCAAAGCTTGCATCCTAGACCACTCCAAAGGAGCCATAGCTCACCTCTAGCAGCAGTCATACTTCCTTAAATAGGAACTTACTGTAGAGAAGCTGTAGGTAACATCTCATTAACAGTGCCACCCGTGTAGAAAAGCAAAACCAAAAAATACTATCCCAGTACTGACATGTCAATTACTTCTCTGCTTAACTAGTTTGAATGGGGAAGAGAAGGTGGTAGAAGAGCTCATATGAAAAGTTCTTCAGTAACAGAAACTCCTTATACTCGCTGACATACAGGTAAGACCTGGATCAATTTTAATATTGCTCTTTACCATGTCAGTTTGCATTTTCCTTACTTTTAGATAAATATAAAAATGATAAAAATCAAAACTTAAAAAAATAGATACTATGACATACATTTAAGTATAATTAGCATTTTGTAAGACTTAAACCCAATTTAAAATTTAAACTTATTTAAAATGGATTCAGCCAACAGTTCCTCCAGCTGATGCAAGCAAAATAAGGACCAAATAAACTCCAGAGACAGATCTGCCCTCTTGTCTTGTTAATCAAGAAAACTCAAGGTAAGCAAAACCAAAAGCCATGACCACTAAACAGGACACAGATGACAAACTTCAGGATATACAAGCCATGCTTAATCCAACTTAAATCCCTAAGTTAGATATAATGCTGAAGGTGACCTGATTTATAGAACTGTTACCATTTGTGAGGGGGGAAAAAAAAATGTCATTGGGCCTCCAGCTACCCGTCTTTACATCGTACCCCTTTCAATTCTCCTAATTCAGTAAATTTACTCAGTCTAGCAAACTTGGAAAAACATTTCCACAGAAACTATTTCATACTTGACCAGCAAGCATCCTCATGCTATCATTCCAGAGCTCAGAGGGCAGCAACCTCTAGCGAGCTGCATGACTGATCCTGGACAGGCTGCCATCAAAAAGCCTAAAATATTTTGTTTCCACATCTTAGAAATTAAGACCTGTATAATGCAATTGAAAGAAGTTACAGTTACTTAGTCCTCCAAGAAGTCTCTGTAGATAGGTATAGCATGAGAAAACTCCTGGATCTAGCTTTTTTTACTCCAGAAGTTCAAGTCAGCCAACCAGCCTGTTAAATACCAGTATAAACCTATATCCATGACAGAAAACAACAGAAAAACAGGTTACTGTAGATCAAGGTCCTGTACACTATTCTTGCTCCATATGAGACTTCCCAGCTATCTCTATTTCATAGAGATTTACCTGAAAGGAAACCTCTGTAGATGGTCTCTTTCAGCAGAGCAACCTTCAGCATGAATCAGTATCACTATGAATTTCAGCACATACAGGCTACTACAATGCCACTAGTTCATCCGTCCATAATTTAATACCGTGCTGCTTCATCAGCTCTTCATCTGGCTAATTTTGCTGCCAGCCATACCCCGCTGAATTGAAGAGCCAGCATTGACGAAGAACAATTAAAGGCTCCCTTTTACAACAGCAGATAATTTGATATATGAACCTCAAAAAGAAATATACGTAAGCCTGACTGAAGTTTAGAGAGCTGAAAAGAAATTGCAACTGATGACCTGAAATGACTTTTCTTTTAAATGAAAAAAAGGGAATAAAAATAAGACAACATACAGAAAACCCCCAAGTTTTCCAAGTAGTGACCAATTTCATAGATTTCATAGATTTTCTAGGTTGGAAAAGACCTTAGAGATCATCCAGTCCAACCATCCCTAATCTCCCATTAAACCATATCCTTAAGTAGATCATTCACCCTATTCTTAAACACATCCAGGGATGGGGACTCAACCACCTCCCTGGGCAGCCTATTCCAGTGGCTGACAACCCCTTCAGAGAAGAAATACTTCCTAACATCCAACCTGAATCTCCCCTGACTAAGCTTATACCTATTTCCTTTTGTCCTATCACCCATCACTAATGTAAAGAGTCCTTCCCCCACCTCCCCACCATCCCTTCTCAAGTATTTGTAGGCTGTAATCAGGTCTCCCCTCAGCCTCCTCTTCTCCAGCCTAAACAGCCCCAACTCCCTCAGCCGCTCCCCATAAGCTTTATTTTCCAGCCCCTTGACCAGTTTAGTCGCCCTTCTTTGGACTCGCTCCAGGAGCTCAATATCTCTCTTAAAGCGAGGGGCCCAGAACTGGACACAATATTCCAGGTGTGGCCTCACCAGTGCCCAGTACAGGGGCAGGATCACTTCCCTGCTCCTGCTGGTCACACTATTCTTGATACATGCCAGTATCCCATTGACCTTCTCTTTCTTATTCTTTATGATGAATTACAGTACTCTTCTGATATCTTTGTGTACTTGCAAAAGTTAAACCCAGCCAAAGACAAAACTGTTCCTTTTTGACACGTATAATTGTTCACAGCTAGTAGGATTTGAACAAACACATAAATTTATTTTGGGATACTTAGATACTAATAACATCAAGTGTGTACTCTCAAAACATACAACAAACCCTCAAACGTATTTTACAAAAACAAGGGTTTTGTCACTTTATTTGTCCACAGAAGAATATGAATTGCTTTTCCAAGTCTCTTACACACAACTTCAGCTCTTCAGTGCCCAATCAGCAGGATTTTGAAATTACATGTTTGTATAGGATTTAAACCTGTGACTCAAAAAGAAGTTTATATTCCCATTTTAACCATGAGCATCAGCAAACTATATTCTGAGGACCTCTAGATTTAGAAGTAGCGTGTACAGCTATGAGGACGTCCCGATTCATGACTGTGATGCACTGAACGTGCTAACAGAACCCACACCTGAAACTGAAAATAAGTGTAGCTGAAAAGTTGGTTTATTCATTTCACTGAGGGCTTCTCCAAACTTTAACTGGATTCTACTAGTAACAATGATTGTTTGGAGCCATCTCTCAAAATGTTGAGAGTCCTGTATTTAATGTGTCAATACCTCCCTCTTCTCCATTGTGTACATCTTCAATGTTTAAATTCATATTTAAAGGACTAACAGAAAAGTATCTAAAAAACAGAGTGGTCTGAAGCGAAATACATGTTTCTGAGCCATGTGCTTATTTAGCTTTCCTAAGCATGCCTTGTTCTTTCAGTTTGTGCAGGTTTTATGCAGTTTTTACTGATCATCTACAAGATGCTTACTAATCATCTATAAGATAAAAGTGAAACCTATGGTCTGAACACAAGTCATGAGTTTTACTCCATAGTTACATTCTACCACTTTTTTGAATATCTATTGCTCTGTAAACACGAACATCTCATCTCACCTAAAACACTAAAGAAAAAAACAAGACCCCAAAAAAACTTCAGTTCAAACACTTACTTCATTTTTTGAAGATCATCTTGTGCTCTAGCCAAGGCCGCTTCGGCAAGTCTTGCTCTGTGTTCTGCATGTTTTAACTGTTCAAGGAGCATCATGGTATCATTTAAACCATTAGAAGGCAAAACGTCTGCAGGTTCACAAAGATCATCTATATCTGATGAAACAGGTAGAAAAAAAAGACTTCTATGAGTCACAGTTTGCTTCAGAGCAGCTCATAAACGTATGATGTTCTCAGTGTTGCAATTTGTGTCTGGATGATTTGTTGAAGTAGTCTGTTTTACAAGAAGCATCACTGAATTTGATAGGACTAACCACAGAACACAATACTACTCAGTAAAAGCAAGTATGCTAGAAGGAAGACCTAGGTTAACATATAAATAAATCCAAAATTCAGGCTTCTTTAAACACTAGTGTTTGATAGTTGATAAAAGATAAATTAGGTTTAGACTGTAATAAAGTTAATTACAGTCCTATTCTCTATTTTTTCCAATTATGTTATTCTGAGGCCAAAAGGGCTGGTAATGGTAAAAGGTAACAAGGTACATAAATTTTAAATATCTGAATAAGTAGGCAGCAACTCTTAATTTTCCAACCAATTCCTGGGCTTTTCTAAAGCTTATGAACACACAAAACTCAAAAGAGAAAAAGCAGATTAAATATAAATGAAACATTGCTTTTTAGCTACCAAAACTCAGACTCAGCACTAGGTCCCATTCACCTGTTGCTAAATTCAGTTAGTGACTTCAACAGATGTCAGTGGATAAACAGAACGGTGCTACCGTGGTTTTGAATGTAGTAAGAAGTTACAATGAGCTTATTGGGCAAAGACTTCATTTAAAAAAAAAAAAATCAATTCCTTTTAATCATGGAAGACTGACTATTTGGCCCATGGAACTGAAACAAACCACAGATACTTAAAATAAGTTTTCAGAGGTTCAGATCACCTCCACAACCCTTTAGCAACCGCAATGGCACCTCGAAGCATCTCAAAGGTCTATAGCTTAGGCAAAGAGTATATATTAGGCAAGAGCTGATACAGTGAAACATGAAATTCCTGAAGTAACTAACCAATGTCCTCTACCACGCATTATCTCTGCTATCACGCAGAGAAAAGGGTAGAACTGCATCCCAGACTGTCTGGAGAAGAAAAAAATCCACAAGCCCATAGCACCTTATGGTTTAGGTGAAAGAAAGAGGTAGAATCAAGTGCAAAGTAGGAAGAAAGTGAGAGGATCACAGGCAGCAAAAATAAGTTCAAAAGTCAAACTGGATTCTCTCAAGACCATCTGATGAACTGTCATGAAAGAGAAACTAAGGTTGCTTGTACTGATCGCTAGAACCACTAAAAGAAGCAAACTCTTCTATGCAACTGTAGCACCTTAAACCAGGTTGCTTCAATATAGAACCTGTATAAAACGAAGATAGTTCAAACAAGCCAAATTCCTTGCTCCTTACTTCTAGCATACATTTTTGAATGAATGCATCTGATTTTAAATATCTACATTTAGAAGTTTTAAAAGCTTTATAAATCTTCCAGTGAAATCTGGGCAGAGTGCCTCTTTGACCTGCTTAGTTATTACGTACAGCATCTCTGCTATGAACATGGTATTTACAGTAAGTTAATGCAGATAATAACACAGGGCTATAGAAATCTTAGCCATTAAAAACCAACATAAAACGTGGTAAAAATTTCAGAGCGTGACTTAACATCATGACTTCTGCTATTACGTGGACTTTCTCATGTACTTAAGTCAACTGAATAATACTGATGACGTTTCATATGACAGGAACTCTGCCAATACCACATTTACCCCCACAAGGCAGTACAGTCGTACTGAGAGATATCTATTTACCAAACTGCAGCAGGAGATCATCTTCTAGCTCTGGTTTCAAATATTCCTCTCCTTCCCAAGGCAGTGGGCTGCTGAGTGAACTCAAATATGCTGTCGTTGGTTTCTAGACAGCAGGAAAAGATCATGTGAGCTACGTTTGTTTGAAAACACCAGCCTTTCAATTTCATTATAGAAAATAAGGCAAAGAACTGTTCTCCCATCTATTAAAATAAATGGGGCACTATTAAAGTATCTTTGCAGCAAAGGCTGAGAAAGATACTACTTTAAAGCATGACTAGTGAGAACTGTGAAGAAATGAACTTCTGGCTTCCATCCTGCCTCTGACAAGTACTCACCTTAGCGTACTGACACTACAACTATGGTGACCAGAGAACAGAATAAAACTACACCTATGAGCTAGTCTGCATCCCAAAGCCCAGGAAGCTATAGGATCAAGGAATTCAATACAAGCAGTAAAGCAAAGCAGACTGACAGACATTGAAGGATACTTGTAGGATTACACTGCAATCAGAAACCAAGTTTACTCAGGTGTTTGACCACGTCAGATCCTCAGCTTACAATAGAGCTAATCAATAAAGCCAAGATACTAATCACGTCAAGTGTTTTTACAAACAGTGCTACAGGGACAAATTTCAGAAATGCTATATTCCCTCCTGTTTGCATCTAGCCAGTTAATACTTTGTCAGGAAAGAAGAGGTCAGACTCCGGACTTCAGTTTCTCCATTTCCATGTTTACTCTGCATAGCTAGTTCCACCTTAAATAACTATTTGAGAATTTAAGATTTAAAGATTTAAGTAAAAAAAAAGCTTAATTACATAACATGGTATTAAAACTAAAGCAAAATTTCTTCGAAACAACCAAAGAACATACTTCAAAGTCATAGAATACACAAAACACCCAGGCCTAACTTAAAACTGTAGGTTTCCATCAGCTTTCCTGATTCCGGTATTATTTTAATAGAGATTAATTTTACGTTCCGCAACCTAAGGGAACAGGTATTGTCCTTACTAACAATGTAGTAGGGGTCTGGCCAGCTCATATCCCCAGGAAAGTCTTTTACACCAACACATACGTAAGGACTGAGACAAGAAGCGAACATATTACTGGAGCGAGACAGCAGAGCCAAAGCCTAAGATGAATTAACAAAACAACATGATACTACATAGCGTGAGCTTTTTGCAAGTCTGAGCATCCTCTTCTGGAAACAATAAAACTCGTATAAATTAAATATATTTAAAATGAAAACAACTTCACATCTAAATAAACTAATCAATAGCTATTTTAATTCCTGTAATTTCATCTTTCTAGAAATATAAGATTTCATACAGTCATTAAAAAAGGGCAAATTGAAAGCATGGCATCTTGATATTCCATTCTCCAGACACAGAATACAGAAGTACTGTATGGCACACCTACCTTTAATCTAACAAAGTTGATTAGTTTAATGTATCCATAAAAATCAAGCCCTGAAAAGAAAGAAATGGGGCAGGATGAAGAGAGAGAATTTGCACTATAGAAAACCCACACACATCTTACAATTATATAAATACTAATTACTTGTTCAATTGGTCAGCTTCCCCTTGGGGTGTACATCATTATCTTGCGCAGTCTTCCTATCTTAAGTTTGCCATCTACGTTTTTCTTCTCTTTAGGACTAAATCAGAAAATTCTCACCCTCCAGACAAGTACATTTACCACAGATTAAGAATGGAACACATGTAAATGTGGATTATGAACAGGGGTTTCATTCATTTGGCAAGCAGCTACATCAGGACAGCCACATTCATCTCCTATGAGCTACCTTGTTGACATTTTAGGCTGTTGTGCTCCTTTACGTGTATTTTTAGCTTCCTGCTTAATAAAACGTAAATTGATCCTACTCATCAAGCATACACACCAATATTGATTTAAAACTGCCACTTTGCTCAGCAATAACAGTAGTTTAAATGTAAGTCTGTACTTTCCTAAAGAACGGCGGGGATACTACTTAAACTCAAAATACCTTCTATTGGATTTTAGACAGAAAATAGACCAGATTTTACAATTTTACATACAGATTTCTAAATGCTTCATGTAGTTCCCATCCCCTTATCTCTCTCCTTTTCAGTGCACACTCTTACAATAGCATTTCTTCAATACCATTCCACTTCCCCTGCTTTCCTTTACATGGGTTTCAGGCTCAGTAGTTCAGCACTTTCTGAACTCTTCTAAACCACTCCCCTGCTTCACATACGTCCTCCTATACGTATCCTCCTTCAGTCACGATCTCAGCCTAAATAGATAGCAGCTTCAAGTGAAGGCAACCTTAAACTTCACTTGGAAAGAATGAAACAGACATGGGAGGGTAAGCCTTCCTGTGATCACCTGAGGGAACACAAGCCAAGACTGCAAACTACTGCTTAAGAGACACCAGCAGTACCACCTAGTAAGTTGACCTCTCAGTGGGTACATCCACTTTGGTCTCTGCTAAGCTCTGGAGTCAACACAGTATCCCTCGTCAGGCAAGAGTTCCCAGCAGATCAGGTAAATAACTCTTACTCCAGCGTGCAGTGGGCTGGCTCAGGTTGATCAAGCAGGCAGTGGGGACTTGGCACAAGCCAGCAGAGATCAACCTTACTTTTGTTACCAGTCGAGAGCTTTACTAGTTGATAAAGCATACAGCCAACACAAAGATAACACATAAGCATTTTTCTAGAACAGTTTATCTTGCTCAATCTTGGTATTTTCAGCTACAACCAGGAAGTCAGTTAGAAACAAGCTAATCTTAGCAATTTATTTTAAAAGAGATACTGATAACACAGAAGGAAGTAACAAGTCATGAAAAAAACTTACCGTGCATCTTTATCACATCACAAACATTAAACTGATGCTCTGTTTTGCAGTGAGAGAATACATCTTCAGCAGAACTAAACAACCTGGGAATAACAAATTATTAAATGTGCAGCATTAGCACGTTCATAAACTGTAACACTCCTAGGAGCTTTACATGCTCTGCTCTGACCCACTAGGTAACGTGTTCAAATGCATCATTTTTGCCTTTGAGAAAAGATGAACAGGCACCTACTTATTCACATGCCTCACAAAGAAGCTTTCAACTTGTTTGCAAAACATTTTGCAACAAAAGGTAATAAACCCCAAAATTTTGTTTGGCAAAAACACAAACTCTGTTAACTTTCAAAAACTCCTTGAGTGCAAAGACAGCATTAAGCCTGAACCCCGAGAACTGCATGCCCAGGGAGGCAAGCTGGCCAGCTGGATCTGCGGCATCACAGCAACGGCTCTCATCTATTTACTAACAAAGCGAAAAGATGACAGAGAAAAATAAACCGAAAAACTTCCATCCTACTTCAGGGTGAGGAGATGGGAACTATCTGCTTTCCACGTTGTTTCTCCCTCCTTTAGTCTGGGTTTAACAGACTTTTGGCCGGATTTAAGACCTTCGGCTCTCAAAAGGCCGTATACAAAACCGACAAGCTACAGAGCACGGTTGCAAACTACGTGTTATTTACTCTCCTGACGCGGCCGCCTCCCGCAGGCCGAGCTCGGGCGCTCGCACCG